GATACAAACACACACTGTACACTAACTGATCCATTCCCTTCAGTAGATACTAGCACATCTTGTACATTGTATGTAGCTTAAGGTAGAGTGAACAAAATTAGAACAATAAACAATATAGCTTACAGATAGTCACATTATTTTGATCTTCAGTAATCCCAAATAAGGAATTGATTATAATAATTTGAACAACATATGTCTTGCATGGTTTTAATCCAGTCATTGTGTATGATACTATTTGATGTGCACTAACACTATTAGTATTAACGGCATGGTACATGACTCCTTCATCAGGATATAAATTACCATATATTGTAAAACTACAGAATTGTATTGAACTGTTTACCTGTAATTACATTGACAAATGATAAAATATATGCATTACAATTATCATTACCAAGTTTATAAAATCAAGAAAAAACAAGCCACTTGTTTTGTTATATATCAGAGTGTAATTCAATATACTGATAGTGTAACCTATGAATAGGCATAAGTAAAGTAATTAATAATTAAGCTTTCTACACTCACTGCTGGTGTTGTTAAAAATATATTCACTCCCTTGTGATACATATTGTCCAATAGATGCAGTAATACTGACAGCAACATTAGTACAAGGTAATCCAGTAGTATTCAACCATGCACTAGTATCAGTGGTATTGATATAACTGATACCATTCACTAGTACATTATATGTAGGGACAGTTCCTTGTGGTATATCATCAGAATAGAAAGGAGGAGGAGACCATGACAAGGACTGATCATCGTTAGACCATTGTATGTCTTCAACTGGTGATATTCCTAATAGATGATTAATATACACGTATTATTATACTAATCAAAATGTATGTACTAACCTCTTATTGTTAGTATACTAGTGTTAGAGAACACTTGTTCATAAGGTGGGTATGATATTATGTAACAGCCAATCCCAATCCCATCATTAACAGGTAACCCAGTGATATTAAGTATTGATGATAAGTTACTACCTTCATTAGTAGTAATGACAGATATATCTCTTTGTTGTTTAATAGACTCTGACAGTGGAGCACTGTGTACTATCCAATTCAGTTCATTGCCAGTTCCTTCACAAGTAAAACTTGCTGTCTCATAAATAGGAACAGTAACAGAGGTAGGACCAACTGTTAGAACTAGAAGAAACAATGAAGTACATTCGTGGCACATTATTACCAGCTCCATCCACTGATAGGATCAACAAGAACAAGACAGTGAGACACAGGCCTAGTCCATTCTTAATCATCTTTGTTGACAAGTGACAAAGTTATAATCACAAGTTATTATTAAAATGGAAACATTAGTATAGTAACGTGATACATTACGTAGCAATGAGATAATCCCACACACATACATAAAAATACTATTAGGAGTTTATAATACAGATTCTTTATATACACATTAATAATTTGTGGTACAAAGGTGAACCATATTTAACATGCCAAAATGTCTATCAATAATATATGTACTTTCATTGTACTTGTATCAAGTTTCAAAATTTTCAGCCAAAGTAGGATTAGAAATTTTTTTTATATGGTTCCAAAATTTGGCCAAAGTCCCTGTACTGTTTTTGGCCAAATTTTGCTAAAAATGACTATAGAAGAGAATTCTTCATTTTAATAATTTTTCTGACACACATACATGTTTTTATGTTGTTTTTCAAGTTTGAGCTGATTTCGATTGCATTTAGATTTTTTATAAATTTTTAAAGTTACTCCAAATACAGGCCAATGTTCCTGTGCTATAGGCTAACACACAATGATAAAGTGGGAAAATGAGAAGAATAATGAAAAAATTGATAATTTAGATTGAATTAGTTAGGATAGAGTGAGGTGAGCATTGGAGATGGTCATTTGAATCAAAAAATTTCACTTTAAAGCAGGAGCCATGTAAATGAATACTGGCATCAGATGAAATTGATGGTAGTGCTATAGGATCTCTGGAATTTCTCCAAATGTAACATTGCCAAGCGCATAGTAAACAATGTTGAAACAGGACCAAAAATTTCACCAAAAATGACTAGGACAGAGTTCTTTCATTTTTTAAATTTTTCTGATCCATATACAAGTACTTATGTTGTTTTTCAAGTTTGGGCATGTACTTGTATCATGTACATGTATTGCAATTGATCCAATAACAGTGTACAATAACAGTGCTCATGTATAGCAGTGCCAAATGCACCATTGCCTTGCCTTTGGTTTTGTACTTGGGAAATTTTCATGAAAAACATTCCCAGAGCCACTTTTAACAAAAAAACCCTGCCTGCACTATAGCCCTAGAGCCCATATGGTTTTTGGTCAAATTTTTTAGCAATTTTAAAATTCATAAAAAATCTAATTTTGTTGGAATCAAGGTTATAGGCCAAAATCAAGCCAAAGTCCTTGTACAAGGGTACAGGGTCTTCGGCCAAATTTTTCCAAAAATAAAAAGGACAGAATTCTTCATTTTATAATTTTTCCTGATACATATACATGTTCTTATGTTGTTTTTTTAAGTTTGAAATTTTTAAAAAAATTTAAAGTTGCTCAAAAATTGAGCCAAAGTCTCTGCAAGTATAGGGTATTTTATCAAAAGTGACTAAGAGAGAATTTAAATATTTGCATATACATGTAAGAATCAAAGACTCCATTACATTTTATACATATCAATGCTTTCTATGTGATTTGACTTAATTCTGATTGACGTCTGAAATAATACGTCACTTTTTGAAAAAAAAGGAAATACAAAAATTTAGCACACAAAAGTAAAATGATAATATAATTTTACAGATCCAGTCCATACAAAATTATAATTGCTGCTTGTTTAACCTGTGATTTAATATATATGTATATAAATAATTTAATATCTAAATGATGGAGCCTCAAATTTCTATTGAATGATTCTACCTTTCCGTGCAGTCCCCATTATATATGTACAATTTCAAAAGGTTCGCTATCAGCTCTAACTTCATGAGGCTTATTAACCTATAATAATACATATAATAATAAATTATTAGTGGCTGAAAACCTTTCCTTCCTCTGCAGCTGTAGTTTGGTATGAGGTCATAGGAGCACGTTCAGGTAATAGAGGACGATCAGATCCAGCAGTAGAAGAATAAGAAACTGAATTATCCTCATGTATTGTAACACTGGGACTATTAATACTTGCTGATTCATATACTCGTGCATCAGAACTGAGGTTTTCAAATGTTTTGGTCTGTTCAAAAGCACTTGGTGAGTGTGGAGGAAGGCTTGGCTTAGTCAACACTGGATATGATTGTTTAGAAATGCTGTTTTAAGATAAAAACAATAATATTTTAGTAAAATCAATGATTATCTTAACGTAAGCATCTTATTGCTGACTTGAGTATTGTAAATAAATACCGGCATCAGATGAAATTGATGGTAATGCTATAAGGTTTCTGGAATTTCTCTGAATTTAACATTGCCAGGCACTTGATTTTTGGCCAAATTTCACCAAAAATGGCCAGGAGAGAATTTTTCATTAAAAAATTTTTTTCCTAATGCATGTACAAGTACTTATGCTGTATGTTTTCAAGTTTAAGCTGATTTTGATTGAAATTAGATTTTTTACAAATTTTTTAAGGTGCTCCAAAATTAGACCAAAGTCCTTGTACTTATGAACAAAGTATTTGGCCAAATTTTGCCAAAAATGACTAGGAGAAATTTTTTAATTTTATAATCATTTCTGATACATATACATGTTTTTATCTTGTGTAGAAAGTTTGAGCTGATTCCAATCAAAATTGAATTTATTATAAATTTATAATCATAATTTTTGACAAATTTTAAGAAACCAAAGCACTTGAAGATATCATCACCATCTTGTAGAAATTACAGCAATAAATGCATTAACTAAATAACTGTTATATTTTGTAATTACATTACATATTCATAAACAAGAACAGTCTCATAAGCTGGATTAACATTTGTGTTCAATACTGATCCTTGTACTGACTGTAGAGGTCTTGCTGTCCGTTCAACTAGAAATGAATAGTTACTTAGTTAGATTAGCTAGTGTATTAATTTAATCAGCTTACTCTGACCATATGCTGGATTATTTACTGTAATCTCAATGGAATTACCTTTAAATATAGAAATGTATATTATACTAAACAAACTAAAAATTAAACAAGAAGAAGCTACCTTCCTTTCTTTTTCTCACACACAAGATACATAAAGGTATACATCAAGGTGAGGTATCTATGGCATTTATCATACCACGGGTAATAGTTGCACAAGGCCACAGATACTGACACCAAGTTATATAATCAACTTCTACCAACCAACTTCTGCAACCAACCTCCCCTAAACCCTATTTATTCAACCTCTCGGGGGAATTTAGTGGTAAGTAAGTTATTTATAAACCTAAAATTGAGCAACCTGACTGATCAGTTACAACTAGAGGCATAGTAGTATAATGATGATTACAATCAGCAGTATTATTACAAATACTGTACTAACTATGGTACATACTAATAACACCACAACTGTGTCAGATCACATTTACTATAACTATGACAATTACCTGCACTAAGTGTAACTTTGTTCCTTTGCTTCCTCTTAATCACAGCAACCACACACAAAGTGAAGGTTATTATTAGTATCATTAATATAAAAAGAACAAATACCACACTAGTAATGACATAGACCATTGAGCTGCCAGCATTTCCTCAATAAAAACAAAATACGTAAGTGTATTTTTTATACATGTCAGTCAATACCTGGTGCATTAGTTTCAGTTCCAATAACAACAGTTGGTGATGGTGTTGTAGTGACAGAAGTTGAACTACTGATGGTAGCAGAGGAAGAACTAGAGCTGACAGCAATAACTCCTAATAATATTAATAATAATAACAATAACAAAGAATTAAAGTATCTCTTACCACTGGAGGAAGTAGCACTAGTTATAATAGTCACATACACTTGTTTAGGTTGTACACAAGTCCATGGGACAATACTTCCATTGTCACTAATGTCGTATGCAACTACAGTATAAACTCCAGTGTTTGATAGATGTATTGTTTTATCATCCAATCCTATTATATTAAAGGAGTCATTCCTTCCACTGATAGTGTGTATAAAAATAACATGACATCCATTAGCAGTTGATGATTCTTCATATACACACTGTACACTAACTGATCCATTCCCTTCAATAAATAAAAGAACATCTTGTACATTTGATGATAATGTAGCTTAAGGTAATTCAAAGACAAAAAATAAGTTAAAGTAATCAAACATAAAAACTTACAAAATGGAACTTCCAAAGAATCTTTATCAGCTCTTATATAAGCTGTATAATCTGTACATTGTCTTAATCCGGCCATTTTGTATAAAAATATCTCTTCTTTTTCATCTGCTTCAACAATCTGAGTATTGTCCTCCATACCAATAGGAAAGACTTCCCCAACTATCATATATGTACATGACTGATTACTGTGTATCTGATAAAATAACATTGGGTACATAGTTATGGAAGCAACAAATCTTACCGAACAATTAAGATTAGCAACAAATGTCTGGCTTGATTCATTAAAAGTCATTGTAACATTGTCATAAGTAATAGTATGATCTAATCAAAAACAAAAATAATTTCCTTTTTTAAATTTTACACTTACCTGCAGTGATGCTAAAGTTATATTCTCTCCCTTGTGATACATATTGTCCAATAGATGCAGTAATACTGACAGTAACATTAGTACAAGATAATCCAGTAGTATTCAACCATACACTAGTACCAGTAGTGTTAGTATGACTAGTGCCATTCACTAGTACATTATATGTAGTATAAGCAATGGCTCCTGTAATAATATCATCAGAATAAAAAGAAGGAGGAGACCATGACAATAACTGATCACCATTAGACCATTGTATGTCTTCAACTGGTGACACTCCTGTTGTAATTAATGTTATAATCATAATGTATTATGTGTATATACATTAACCTTTTATTGTTAGTGTACCACCAGAATAAGCTTGTTTGAATGGAGGATATGATACAATTTGACAATAAATTTGTAATCCATCATTAACAGGTAACCCACTGATAGTAAGTACTGATGATAAGGTACCAGGACCACCACCAGGATCAGTAAATGTGATGCCTCTATGTTGTTTAACTGATTCTGTCAGTGAAGCACTCCCTACTAGCCAATTCAGTTCATTGCCAGTTCCTTCACAAGTAAAACTCGCTGTCTCATAAATAGGAACAGTAACAGAAGTAGGAGCAACTGTTATATCTAGAAGAACAATCAAAACATAAAGTATATTCATCACACATTACCAGCTCCATCCACTGACAGGATCAACAAGAACAAGACAGTGAGAGACAAACCTAGTCTATTCTTAATCATTTTTTCTTTGCCGACTATACACTTTGTATTAAATTATAATAACATACTTTTATCAGATGAATACTAAAGGAGTATGTATAAACTGTGTAGATACATTATGTGTATATATGTGTAGATACAGGATATAGTAATTAAGTGATTCATCATACTTGATGTGATCGTTATTTGTGATGACTAGCTGCACCTTTCCAATAACAGTTAACTCATAATAAGGTCACATTGCACATACAAGTATTTTAAAGGAGATAAAAATACTTGTAAATAAAGAGTGCCAGACTCTCTTTTCTGACTTACCTTTCAGGACAATACTGTCCTGATTTCTGAAGCAAAGGTCAAATGTATATCAGGCAATCCCAGGGTTGATAATAATATTTTTGCCGAAAATGAAAAGGAAAAGGAGAGATTTTTCATTTTAATAATTTTTTGATATAAATACATGCTTTTATATTGTATTTTAAGTTTGAGTGATTCCAATCAAAATTTTTCATAAATTTTTTCAAATTTTGTTTCAAACAATGGGCAGTACAATATGTCATTAACAATGACTCGCTCTGAGTTATATAAGTTTGACTAAATGGTATTTTTTTAAATCACACAGCAAAAATAGCAAATTATTGTAGCAGCAAGTCAGCAAGGTAGCGCAGCAAAATAAATGTTACATGTACTTTTGTTCAACAGCAATGTTCTCTGCTTTCAACTCAATCGGCTGATCAGGTGGATTGGTCACTTCTTTAGAATTCAAACCATTCTCTTCCAGTTCCAATTCTCTATTGTTTACATCATGATACAATAAACAATAAAATTATTAATTATACCTAGTGTTCAAATTCCTCTTTTTGCGAACTGAAATGTAATTCAAAAGACTGTCAAGGCTATTTGCTATCAACAGGGTAATCACAATAATAAAGACATTTTTTTTGAACAACAAAAGAAAGGTCAGACCAGTAATCCACCCTAGAAATAAATTTAACTTTACTTGTGAATTGCAAAACTTACATTTTAATACTCTGTCAGGCCCAGCTTCACCATTATTATTGAAGTTATAATTATGATCCTGCACACAGTGAGGAGGTAGAGGACCATTATTATCATACAAAAGCAGCTTTCCATTGCATATGCTTCCACTCAACTGTCCGTCTGTAATCTCAGAATGTATGGAAGCTGCTACTGGCCTGGTATCTACACAAAAAGTGATTAATAATTCAAATTAATTTGACATGTAATACATGAAAACAAATGACAGTATTATATAGCCATAATAAATACAATTTACTACACAAAAATTCCCTAACCACAAAATTAACAAACGTAAAAGTGTAAAAATATTCCTATAATTGATTTCACTACATTGCAAGTACAACTTGGCCATTATTAAGACTTATAGAGGCTCTCTCTACTTTCTAATGCTATGTGTAAGCCGCCATTTTGTTTGCTGTGGCCACACCCACTTACATAAAGGAGTATGGGTGGGTGGTTGCTAAGGCTTGTTACCGTATAGCGGAAAATTTTCATGGCCCAAATATTTCGTGGATCCGTTCAAAATTCAATTTCGTGGCTTTGATTTTCGTGGTTTTCTACTTTTCGGCCATCTTGAACCGTATTAAATCAATTTTCGTGGATTTTATTTTTGTGGATTTTGAAAAAAACGCAAAATCCACAAAAATTTTGGGCCATGAAAATTTTCCGCTGTACAGTATTTCTCCAATACAACATGTATAGAAGAAATGTAAGTGTGGACATACAAATAAATATATAAATAAATATATATAGATAGCGCGACGGTGAAATCAATTATAGGAACAACCTGGGATCTTTGCCCCCAGGTCATTAAAAAAATTAATGATGATAGCAATAAACTACATGTACTTTGTATGTACTGTAGATCTACTTACTAATGATCTTTAAACTGATTTTGCCAGATGATACAGTATTAGAATGCATCTTATGGGCAGTACCAGTGTCACTATGCAAAGTATCAATGGCCTATAAAAAGTACATATATAATAAGTAAAAATTAAATAAAATTATAACTAACCTGTACAATTGTTTCGTTACTAGTGACTTCAGCAGTGTCAAGTTGTTTGATGCTGTCATTCTCATTCTCTTCCTTACCACTAGACAAGGCTGGTATCTCATTATTCACTTTTTCCTCTACTTGTGGCAGGCCTGGTGGCACATAATGAGGAACTACATAATGAGGAACTACAATCTCACCAGAGTGATCAGAATGATCATCATCATTGGTTACGTCTTTTGGTAGATCTGGTGGCATACAACGGGTCACTATCATCACATCAGAATGGCCAGAATCATCAAATTTTTCTAGTGGCATTTTACTGCTATTTTCATGTCCAGGAAACAATAATGCCACAAAAAGAGGAGCAAGCTCATTATTACCATTGATAGGATTTTCAATGGCAAACCAACGAATTGATGAGTGATTATCCTCTAAAAATAAATATAAAAAAATAATAAATTAATAAATTTGTTATTATGTAGTTTATCAACCTGGAGGTGAAGCCCCCAATTTAAAAATTAATTTCGCCATCATGCTAAATGCATGTTACACTAGTCTCACCCTGCCCCTTGGCTACTTCTGAAAAGTAGCCAAGGGGCAGGGCAAGATTAATGTCCCATTTTTTATGCAGTTTATGACAAATAAGCAACCACCCACCCATCTCTTTATGTAATTGTTAGTAAAATGGTAGCTTGAAAATGGAAAGATTTGAGCTTTTCTAGCAGTGAAATAGACACAAGTAATGTCAAAAAACTTCCAGATCTAAGCACTAGATTAAAAGAAACTCAGTGAGAGGAAATAAACACTAGTTGATGGCAAACTATTACCCTTGTTACCAGTTAATGCACATTACAATCTTATTATGCATTTTGAGTCAAAACACAATATTATACTAACCATCTTTTGGTTGTCCAGCTGATGACGCAGTACAAAGACTAGAAGCTCCTTTTGTGTGAGATTCTTCTGTAGCTTCAGAATAAAAAGGTTCATTTGGTACAACGTGAAATGAGCTTTGTTCAATGAAAGGATCAGTACTGGTGTCCAAATCATCATAGGAAGGAGAATAATCTTGGTGAACAGGCTAATAATAGATCTAATAATTATGCCATTATGATGTAATGTAATACCTCATCTTTGCTAGTACATGTAGTTGAGTTAAGATCTCCAGGAACAGTAACACTCCCTTCCTAATAATGATAATAATAATAATAATAAACTAAACCATATTACCTTATTAATATCTCGAGAAACAACAATTTCATCATCACTTTTATCATTTGTAGCAAGAGCAACAACAGTGTCATTACTTCTATATGCAGTGACAGCATCATCATCATGACCAGGTGGTAGTAATGGAGCAGTAGAATTATAAGTGGATGATGAACTGCATGTTGGCGGTCCCTAATAAGTATAATAGTGTAGGAGTACAGTTTATGTGAATCTCATTACAAAGATAGGAAATAATTTTTACAATTAGTATTATTGCTTTATGTACAGGTGGTTATTATTATAGTCAATATAATGACTCACATTAAGATTCGTGTTGATAGTGTTCTTAGTACATGGGTTCCTGGTACTATTTGGAGGTGAACCAACAGAACAAGATGGTAACAGTGAGCTGTTTTGATCCTAATAATAAAACAAAGGAAATATAGGTCATGTGCCCCCGGTAGTGCGCAACAAATAAGTACAATTAATACTGATCATGAATCTCATTATAGAGATGGGAAAATCAGTACACAATAGTACTGCATGTTTGTACTCATCAGACATCTGTTACATAATGTTACATAATCACTTTCAATCAACAAGTAGTTACACTTATTGATTCATTGTCATCATTTTATTGCTATGGCTTCCTTTTCTATAGTACAAATAATAGTATTATATAATATTACCTCATGTGGAGATGTAGTAGTGACAAGGGCACCATTCTGTTGAACAGATCGTCCCTATAATAGACAGTTGGACACAATAAAAGATTACATTATATCACATCATTGAGTGGTAACTTACATCTTGTAATTTATTAGTAGAAACATGATAAGGATCCACTATATTCAGTAGTACTGGTTCACTAGTTGGAGCTGAAGATCCTTCATCATCTGACATATCAATAACCATAGGTACATGTGTCTCATAATCAGTACGTTCTACATAATAATAATGATAATAGATAACATGTACCTGAATTCAAATCACGTCTTTTCTTCTTAGCTTGTCTCTTATACATCAAATACAAAGCTACCACTATGAGTATTACTATGAATATCACCAATAAACCAGCACCAATCGCTCCAGAAATGATATAAAACTTGGAGTCACCATCAGTTCCTGAACCTAAAAATGATATAGAGTACATACTATGTCATTTAATACCTTGTGTAGGTTCAATTCCAAATGATGATGGTATTGGAATAACAGAAATACTGATGGCAGTAGTAGAAGAAATAGAGCTGACACTGATAGTACTATCTACTAATAATAGTGACAATGACAATAAAGAATTAACGCATTTTTTTACCACTGGAGGAAGTTATAGAGGAAGTTATAGAACTCACATACACTTGTTTAGGTTGTACACAAGTCCATGGTACAATACTTCCATCATCACTGATATCATATGCTGTTACATCATATACTCCACTGGTTGATAATGTTATCAATGCACTATTGCCTGATCCAGTTATATTAAAGGATTCATTCCTTCCATTACTAGTATCAGTAAATATCACATGACATCCATCAGCAGTTGATCCTGATACAAACACACACTGTACACTAACTGATCCATTCCCTTCAGTAGATACTAGCAGATCTTGTACATTGTATGTAGCTTGCAATAAAGTAAACAATGAAACAGTATAAATGTAAACTTACTGATAGTCACATTATCTTGATCAACAATACCAAATAAGGAATTCAATACAATGACTTGAACAGTGTAGACCTTGCATGGTTTTAATCCAGTTATTGTGTATGATACTAGTCCATCAGTACTGGTATAATATGGGGTCTGTGTCACTCCTTCATCCGGATAACGGATGCCATATATGGTAGTGTTACAGGACTGTGCTGAATTGTTTACCTAATTGCAATGGTAAATTATAAATTATGCATGACAATTATCATTACCAAGTTTATCAAATTAATAAAGAATAAACTGCTTGTTTCATTATACACCAGAGTGTAATTTAATATGCTGATAGTGTAACCTATGGATGGACATTAAAAATTATATTGAGCTTTATGTTTATTGTAGTTTACCTGCAGTGATGTTAAAAATATATTCTCTCCCTCGTGATACATATTGTCCAATAGATGCAGTAATACTGACAGTAACATTAGTACAAGGTAATCCAGTAGTATTCAACCATACACTAGTATCAGTAGTGTTGATATAACTGATACCATTCACTAGTACATCATATGTAGTAATAGCAATGCCTCCTGAAATAATATCATTGGAATAGAAAGAAGGAGGAGACCATGACAATAACTGATCATCATTAGACCATTGTATGTCTTCAACTGGTGATATTCCTAATAATAATTACTAGAAAGAATGTAAAACATTGAGGGGCTCCGCCTCCAGACTGCACCTCCCAGTCACGCCCAGACGTACGTTCAAGTTCTTGTAAGTAAGGATTCGCCCAATTATTATACTATTAATCATGATGTATGTGTACTACTAACCTCTTATTGTTAGTGTACTACCAGTGTCAGAGATCACTTGTTCAAAAGGTGGATATGATATTATTTGACATCCAATACTAATCCCATCATTAACAGGTAACCCAGTGATAGTAAGTACTGATGATAAGTTACCAGGGCCACCACCAGGATCAGTAAAGGATACATCTCTTTGTTGTTTAACTGATTCTGTCAGTGGGGCACTCCCTACTATCCAATTCAGTTCATTTCCAGTTCCTTCACAAGTAAAATTTGCTGTCTCATAAATAGGAATAGTAACAGAAGTAGGACCAACTGATATAACTAGAAGGACACAGAAATTCAGTTAGAGTCTTACTGACAGTATTTACCAGCGCTATGCGCTCCTTTTGAAATGAGAATAAGACTTAACAGAAGAAGAATTCTAGTACTCGGAATATTCATCTTGCTTGCTTGCGCCATAGATAATTATTATAGTAAATGAAAGCATAGATTTACGTAGTTATAAAATCTATGATGAAAGCTATGATGAAAGCTAGGGATTGGCAACGGGGCGTAGCAACAGGAAATGCGGGCCCGCGGGTTGGGTTACCACGTGACAACCATCAGTGTTTTGATTTGGTGATTTCCCATCTCCTCCATTGGTGAAGTTGCTCTGGCAGGATTTCATTTCGAAGGAAATTTGTGCTGCTCTAGGATAGCGCTTGCTTTTGATACATAGCCTATTCCACATAGAATTTTTAGAGCTACCTGCAGCAAGGTTTTTATCTCCAAAAAGCCATTTTGCAACCAGTTAGAGGTACACAAAGTCGCCTGTTTTTGAAACACTTTATCGTTCGTAAAACACTCAAGCTTCATTATATCAATATGCAAGTTAGCTCATTCCATAGGAGATTTCAAGCTCTTTAAAATGGTTATACTTATTCGTAGCTCAAGAACAAAATTAATAAAAAGCATAAACATTGGTTAGTATTGTGTGTGAGTTTTGTTTGCATGAATTGTATTCTCTTGGAGTTATTCAAGAATAAAACAAGAAAATCCCAGTTTTTACTCCAAAATCTGTCAAAAAATCCCAACCCTCCTCTGTTTACTTAGCAACAATACAAATGAATGGAGGTTTGTCTACGCCCACGCTTCCGTTTCCAATCCCTTTCGTTTACTCTATTTGGCCTCGCATTAATTTTAATACCGGTAATTATATTACATAGTCATAAACAACAACAGTCTCATAAGCTGGATTAACATTTGTGTTCAATACTGATCCTTGTACTGGCTGTATAGGTCTTGCTGTTTCTTCAACTAGGAATGAATAGTTAGATTAGTTAGTGTATTAATTTCTAATCAGCTTACTCTGACCATATGCTGGATTATTTACTGTGATCTCGATGGAATTACCTTTATAAATACATTTTGCTAAACAAACTAATGCAAACAGCTATACCTTCTTTCTTTTTTCTCGCACACCAGATACTAGTAATGATGATTACAATTAGCAGTATTATTATAAATACTGTACCAACTACAGTACACACTAACACTACAACTGTGTCAGCTACAGCATTGGCAGACTTCACTGTACTACTATTGTCAATTGTGTAGTAAGCTAAATGAATATGATTTATAATTTTAAATTATAAAAATTAGAATTTACCTGAGAATTCTACTTCCATAGATAGCAACATACCTAAAGGTCACATAAAGACAGCAATGCATTTAAATGTTCATCAATACTTACTGGTACTATGTACAGTGCTGTAACTGCTGCTGTAGACAATAGAAGGGATAGCAA